CACAACGCGCTATCTGTGAAGAGGTATTTGGCAAAAAACAACATTCCAGTGATGGAACATCCACCGTATTCTCCGGACCTAGCACCGTGCGACTTTTTTCTCTTCCCAAAAATCAAGTCTGCGCTGAAAGGGACCAGGTTCGAGTCCGTGGATGCAGTGAAAGCAAAAGCGACGCAACTCTTGAAGAGCATAACACAAGATGACCTGCAGCACTGCTTCCAACAGTGGAAAATTCGCATGGAGCGGTGTAGGGATCGGGGAGGGGACTACATTGAAGGGGATAACATTTCGACTGTCTGATTTTTTTTTAATAAAGGGTTAGAGCATGAATCCGGTTTCTTTATTGCCACACCTTGTATATAGGTTGAAGCTTGCTGGTACAGTTGACTGAGAGAAATACAACTTTGATATTTCTGAGAAATGCTGAATTGTTTTGGGTGAAATTTTTCAGCTATGTGTGCTAGGCTTAGGAAGCACACAGATATGAGACATGGCTAAGAAGTTCCGGGAATGACTTGGTAAATAAGTTAAGATTTCTGTTAGCAGTTAATTACGGTTGTCCCCATCAGAGTAGTTCCCTTTGGTAGTTGTATGCAAAGTTATTCTTTGTTTATATATTTGGAAGCACTTTGGAAAAGCAGCTTCTGATATCAGTTTGTGTGTGTGTGAGGTACACTGCTGAGCCTCACCCAAAAACCCAGAATGTGCCCCTTGAAATGAAACTTCTATATTTGTGATTAGAAAGGAGTCACACAGTCAGATTGTAAGACTAGGATGTTAAGGACCTGTGCCTTAGCTTAAATGTGTATAATAAACGCTACACTGGTAGGAAATAGAGGAGCTAGGATAGCGTAGTAGGTATAACGACCGGCTATGGGCTGGATGACCAAGGGGGTGGTTACAACAAGAGCAACATTTAATGTTTAAGCCCATAGTGCGCATACCATTATTTTCCTAGAGGTACCACCTCTGCAGTTTTATTTAGGGATATGGCATTGATACAATATTGAAATTTAATCAGAATCTTTTGATCTGTTTTTTGAGAATGTCACCATTTTGTGATTTTGAATCCATCTAAAGGGACCCTAATTCAGGTGCTAGCAAGGTTCATGTCCATACATACATACATTACAGACAGGCATTCCAAAAACCACTTTTTCATAATCATGGGGGTTGAAAATATAAAACCAAACTTCAAGATTGCTTTTTCCAGTCACAGTACCTTCTCAGATATACTACATATGTGAGAAACTAGCTGGATACGGACTGAATAACATGACTTAGTGTTGGGACCTGTTGCATATTGTTAACAGTATTGAATGTTTAGGTCATATAACTGTTATATTAACTTCTCAAGTACTGTCCCATGGAGTGAGTGAGGAGAAAGTTTCATAATGTACATTATTCTGTTTGTTTATATTCAGACTGGTTTCCAGAAGAAAATACCGTGTAATAATGTATGCTGTTTACATTTTTCCCACTGATAACATACAAATAAGTTGACTGAAAGATTGTCATTTTTTCTTTCAAATCTGTATTTTCAACAATACACTTCTAAGGTAGAACATTCCACAGCCTGTAGTCTACAAGTGAACTACATCAAACGAGCGACGACCGCTTGTCGGCAGAGTGAAAGATGATTAAATATTGTGATCTGTCTTCTGAAAGTATGCTATTTTTGTTTCCTCATTTGTGGTTAAAACAGAGAGATTAACATAATTATGTGAAAATATAGTTTCTTTCTGACGAAAATTGAACCATCATAACTACGCAAAAATATGCTATATGAGAAAATGTAAAAAAAGAAGTTTACAAAGTCAGTATGAAAGATTTGCATTTGGTAGCTTAAATTCATATGCAGAAATTGATCAACTTGCCAAAATGATGTTTTACAGATAGGAATTTGCAAGTACTCCCCACTTTAGGATACTAATTTATTTTAAAAGTGAAAGAACATTTGGCAAAGATACTTGTTGTATCATTGGGATATTATATACATGTTAAACTGTACTGGTCATGTGCCACATAGTTGGTCCAGCTGGCTGAGAAATGCTTTCCCCCACCAGTACTAATACTGTTAACCCTGAGTTGAAGTACGGCTGCAAGCCCTGTAAAAGCAGGACATGTAAAATCCCCTATTCTCAGACATATTAAAATATGACCACTGATCCCTTAGTTACTGTTCCTGAATGATAATGTTAATATAGGGTCTTACTATAAGAGACTACGAGATGTATTTTGTTTTTACCAGCCATATTATGTAGTTAGTTGTCCCAGAATTTTTTCAAGAATTGGAAGTTAATGGAAACTTTTCACTGCTTGATATGTGTACAAAGTATCTGTCACATTAATGATTTTCAAAGACGATACTGTAATAACAGACATCTTGCCAGTAAGTGCATGATAAATGCAAAGGAAGATGGTCCAAGACATAACCACACCTTGTGTTATTTGATGGAACAATACAAGACCAAAATTTGGCAACAGTTGTCAGGGTGTCATGTATTAAACATGTAGGACTAAATATGACATTTTTTACAACAGGAAATGTAGCTCATTTTAATATGTTGAAAATTTATGGAGCCTTCACAATCACAATTTTACCTGTTGTAGACGATTAGAACTACTTCATTTTGTTTTTTATTGATCCAAAATTAAACATATGAAATTATGTTGTGAAAAAGTACATACAGGTTGAAGGTGGTGGGTGACAGGATTTCTGAACTAAGGACATTGACACTACACATTCACTTTTTAAGTATAACGTATGAGAACTCGTACATGTTCATAGTCATCATGCTAACAGAAATGTGCACTGCTTCTAACATGGAATGTAATTTGATATACTGAATGAAATAAATCTTACTGCACCATCTTACATATAAGTGCCTTTTGTTAGAATTTCGCTTTTGGCAATATGGTCTATAATAAGACCTGATAGAGTTTCAGTTACAGGCATAATGAACTGCTTAGTTGAATATGTTATCAAACTACACACGTAATGCAAACAGTTGACGTTACATCTATATGAATCATCCACAGTTTGCATAGTTTGTAGTATACTGGCATGTTAATCAAGGTACATGGTGCAATTATATACAAAAATTACTAGAACATCTTATCTTTCTTTATGATGTCCATTTTAAGTTTTTCATAACATCTCTGACTTTTCATCGCCCCATACAGGGTTTCGATTTCCCTTCTATACTTTACAGCGTGTATTCAAACAGTTGTTATACTGTTGTTTTATCAACAGAATATACAGTAGTTAATTCATGACTATATCAAGTTATTTATTTCAAGACTGATAAGTTTTGATAATATTTATCATCATCAGGTGGTATATAATTTATAGTCATTAACAAGTATTTATTTGTAAATTATACACCACCTGACCAAGATCAGTACAATTTATACATATTATGGTCTTACAATAAATAACTATTAATATATTTATCAATTAATCGCTGTGTACATGGTTATTAAAATGACTGGCTGTATTAACACAAAACAGGATGGAAAACTAAAGATCAGTTCTTATGTAATATTGAAAATGACTACCAACCTTGCCACAGTTTTTGAAGATTATATGTGAATAACACATTTAACAGATACCAATAACATGGTATACAGTGCATATTTGTTTGGTTGTTGCTGTAGCACCACAAGAAAGTTCTTTCATAAACATGGAACTCACTGCTTGCTTAGGTACAATAAATTGGAGTGATTCAATGCATGTCCATTACAGTATCCAAGTTATCTACTTGTGGTACCAAAATATAAGCATCAGTCCTCAGGCACAGCTAAATAGATACCAAGAAATAAAATATACCTGTCGTTTAGAAAGATCTTTAAACTCTTTAAGATCTGCTTCTTATATTATGTTCAGTAGGTACTTCTTGTTCTTCAATATAGTCTTTATATCTTACATGTGTCTTGGATTATATTAGTTCCATGCTCCACGCTTGCAGTCAAAGTTGACAAGAAATAAAATTTTGAAAGATGTTCACATTGAAGTATGGTAGTTTTCAGAGAAGTTTATATGTCAAGTCTGTTTTGAATTCTCTTCAAAGTTTATGTACATCTCGAGAAATTATTTTTACTTCTTGTGGGAAGGAACTACTTTGAATTCCATGATGAACAATACAGTTTAATGTTAATTCATATAACAACTTAATTTTAAAATAAGAAAAACAATTAACCCTAAATGTTTTTCTTTAAAAAATCACAAAATGTTCAGTAACACAGGTTGTTTTTCTTTTCTTGACAGCTGCACAGACATTTCATTTGATGTATCCATTTATGGACTTGCACAAGCAGAATGCTAGAATGATGCCCAGCAATTGGATCAAGCCTAATCCAATACCTATTCCAATTGCTATGTTGATGTTCTCCATAACCAGTTCTACAAATGTATTGTAGCAGCCCTGGAAAAACACCAAGCAGATTGAAAAGCTTATTTATACTGACTTCTCCATTGAGATGTGAGTGCAGTCTTGCTGGCAGTCAACCCAGCAATTCAGGTTGGTAGACTAGGGGATGAATATCTCTAGGACTTAGCGTACTGAATTTTTTACAGCAGCTGTCATTACTTGTCTATAAATAAGCAGTAAAATCACACAATTCAACTTTGCTAATGTTCCAGAAAACAGGATACCGAAATAAAATAATACATCCTTCCCTTTCACTGTGCGTGTGTATGCATGTGTACACAATCAACAGAGTGACTAGAGTAATTTATATTGAACACACATTTTATATAGATTTCATATCATTTTGGAAGTCTCAAGGATATCACTTTCATAGTATTCCCTTCTTTTGTATGTTATAATGCAGATATTACTTTTGGGATTAAATATTGAAAGTAGTAATTGGTGTATGACACTAATGTTAAAAGTACGAACCAGTTTCATTTCCCACTTTTCATTAGCAAAGTATATTAATTACTGTGAATATGAGATGTTGAGTAGAACATTTGCTGACTGAGTTCAGTTTGTATATGTAAGCTGTAGTAAACAATTTGTAAAATAAACAACCTTTTGTCAATATAATGTTATGATCTCATTTCGACATGCCCATCCCTCACCTACTGTCAAGATACCGCAGAGGAAGAGTGCAGATATGATGGATTCCATCATCACAAACCATGATCTGGCAGCTGAATTATATGATGACAGATCACTGCACCTGGTAGAAAGGTACAAGTGAGTACAGCAACTTAATAAGCTTTCATTTAAGTTGCAGTATGTATGAAATAATCAAGAAAACAGTTCTACAAGCCTCAGTAATACAACTTAATCGCAAAACACTGCTGTTATTGCAATTGCAGAATGAATGAAGCGTACATCTGAGCAGCAGTATGCTTTTTAACATATTAAAGCAAAGTGGTAATAGTATGTGCCACCTGTTTTAACATTTAGTAGTTATGCATTTTGCCTGTATTATCTGTGTGTTTTATATAATTTTCAGAAGAAACAGCAGTGATTTCCTAAACATCTTTAAGTATTTGGTCTCTGTACTGGAGACCTAATGTGCTGTTTGAAGTGTGGGAAATGGATTTTTAAATATTATTTAGATGAACTTAAGGCTCCAAATGATTAAGGTCAAGTACAGAGAAATCCCTATTTAACAAATCTCTGGGGGAATGGTTTCTCTTATACCAAATAGAGGTTTTCATTCAGTGGGGGATGCAGTATTGCTTCAAGAAACTACACCCAGCCCTGGCCTTGCTCCTGGCAATTCCACTGAAGTTGAACTGGTTCCTGAAGGTTGGCTACAGCCAGCAGTTAGTTGTTTTACACCAATCTTAGATCTTTAGGGGGAATTACTGGGTGACCAACTAGTGCAATGGAATCTCAGCAAACATTTTATGGAAAGGCAGGCCTCAAAGAGTGCTGTGCAGTTCATTAATGTATTTAATTAAATTTCATCTACTGAGACACAGAGACCTTTGGAAAACAATATGTGCACTTTGAAATTGTTAACTGTATATACTCAAGCATCCACACAGTTATTGATAGTTATACTTTTGTGATAAGATTACCTGAAACTGAAGACAATTACAGCAATATTTTAACCCCCCTTGTTATGTCCAGAACTATGAAACCACTTGCCTGTTTCAGATCATGTGAATGCTTCTGTTAGCTTATTCAGAATTTAATATTGGGCATAAGTTAACAGACCATTTAAGAATAAATTAATTTTATTATTTAGATTGCCAAAAATTACACTGTTGACAAGAATGGGTCTCTATCTCCATGTTATCCTCTTGTGACTAACTTTAGTCCCCCCCCCCCAAATGTGTTTTTTTTAATTTCTTAACATTTCGGAGATAAGGGAAGGCTTGAACCCACAAACCTCCACTCTGGCCACTGCAAATCTTAACAATAATGCTCTGATTTACCATTTGTTACCACAAATTGTAAAGAAGCATGTGAAAACTATAAGAAATATTCAGCTGGATCTGCATCATGTGCAAATTTGTTCCATCATTTCAAATGGACTCCAGGTATCCTGTTTGAGTCCAGGAGCTTCCAAAACAATTTTTTTTTGTGGTGTAGTTTGAACTTACATTTTTGTTGCAAGCCCTTTGAATTTTTATATGGTTAAGTCAAGGTTCTTTCTGCTTTAAAATATTTTTTGGAAAAAAAAAAGGCCTTTCTCTGAGTCTTTATAGGGCTAGTATTGTTATATTTTAACATACTTTCAGTATATAATGTGCACAAGAAAATCGTTTTTACTGGATAAAGGTTCATGGATATACATACAAGAGGGGTTGGCCTAACTGCTGGTCTTTGCATCACAACCTTTATGTGATCCAGTGTGCATAAAGTGCATTTAACTTGTGCTCCAAAATTGAAATGTAAAAAAGTGCATTTTGTGTAGGCAACAGAACATATTTTGCAACATGATATGCATTTAGCCAGAGGGCTATGTTGAGAACTTAGAAAAATAAACTAAAGCATGAAAGATACTGTGAGAATACATAACAAGATGCTGTCCTACAAGTACAAGAATTGAGAATGACAGGCCACTGTGTGCCTGTCATTGACATGTGCTCCTGAATTCAGTTGCTTCAGAATGAAACTAATTTCTTCCATGAAAGAGAGTTGAGAAATTAGAAACTGCATTTTTAAAGAACTTGTCAAAATTTTAAACATGATGAATAAGTTCAATGATGGATGACAGGCTGAGTGGGTGGATTTTTATTCTAAGAATATACAGTGAATTTTCTCTTTCTGGACTCATTCAGACAGCAGATACTAGAAGCTCTTTCTTGAAGGGTAAAGCTGACCACTCACAATCTAGTGCCAAGATTTAGAATGTATGGAATTTTACCTCAGTTTCTGCATATGCCTTCCTGGCATGGTGGTTAGCCACAGGGTAACTACTTTCACCATACTTGAAAGTATCAATACTTTGCACTGTCTACAATAATATTTGTGATGAGAGAAAAGATAACTCTGATTTTTAAGAAATCTGTAATACAGGTAGCTTCTTTAAGCTTGCATTCCTGCACTCATTTAAGTGTAATTTTAAAGCATACATTGTTAACCATAAAACTAAAGAACTCAATTAATCCATTCAACCGTTGCTATTATATTGTTACTTAATAACGTCCATGTGTTTAAAGTCTGGGCACCATTAACTGTGATTTGTCTGCTCATAAAAACATGTAGCCCCAATATACACATACCTTTTTCCAGTAGGAATTGGAATCTGATGGTTTGTATGGGCAGTCTTTATATTTGGGTTGAAATTTTGCTACATCACCTTCTAAAATGCAGCATGCATCTGGGATTGACTTATTTCCCTCAGTCCATTTCTTTGACTCTCTAAAGTCTTCATAGTTCTCCACACCACAGCATTTCATCTGCAGAAAAAAAGTGAACAAGCAAACAAATATTAGTGTCAAGGAAAAAAAATGTCATTTGAATTTCAGATAATTGAGGTTATCACATTTAAAGTGATTCTCAAGTAAATAAGTAAGTAAAGGTATCCCTGTAAGAGGCCGTGGAGGCCCATAGGGTTGTGAGATGTTGAGGTTCACACATTTTCTAGACAATCTGCTCATAGATGCCGGTAAGCTTCACGCGCCGGCTGGCTGGCCTTTGCCCCCAAGAATATTCCTGGTACTCATTTCTGTTAGAGGCTGAGTCGACTCGAGGGCCATAGTGTGGCTGGAAGGATTACGTAAATTGAAAAAAATCCAATGACATCATCAGGATTTGATCCTGCGACCTTCTGGCTTATAGCATAGTGCCTCAACCAACTATGCTACTGCGTGCCCCCATTCTCAAGTAAATAGAACCTGAAAGTATAAAGTTGTTGTGTCCTTGTTTAATAATGCACCACATCATGAAGATGTATGGGGAAATGGATGTACACCTCCATCTACTTCCCATCTTCACAACCTATTTCCATGAAATCCATCTTAATGTTATGCTCTTTATCTCTTTGTCTTCCCAGTGACATTTTCCAAAAGATATCCCCACCAACATTCTGTAAATATTTCTTATTTTCCTTGCATCGTTGCTACAAACTCAGTCCTCAGTCTTGATTTCACCATTCTAACACTGCTATGTGACCAGTATAAACTGAGAAGTTCCTTGTTGCGTACTGCCCCAAAGGGCCCAGTTTATCCTCAGGTCCAAATATTTCCTTGATAACTATGTTTTAAGACACTTATCATGTATGATCTATCAAAGCAAGAGTCTGCATTCCACACTTATACTGTGTATTATTGTCTTGTCACCAGAATGCAGGACAGAGTCACAGTATAAGGATAACTTTCTTTAAATATGGCCGAGTTCAATCATTTCAAATGACAGGGACACTGAAAATTATATCCATGAAGAATTCAAGAGCATATTAAATATGTGGAATGTCTGTTACAAGTCTGTCCATAATTTTTTATGTTTGTGTCTGGCATATAGATAGCTAAAGATTCAACTTTATGTAACTACAGTTTCACTTGTTTTACATGAGCGTGAAAATGGCTGTCTTACTGTCAGGAAAGAACGCATATTTAGTGTGTTTAAGAAGATGAGCCAAGGATAATACTCTTTCATTAATGGCCAGTGATATGAGAACATGGATTTACATACACTGGCCATAATGTAGTCCCACATGAGTGTTACAGCATCCTTCTCTTTGGCAGCATAGTATTTGTTAACGGAGGATTTCAAGAAAGCTTGTGTCTCTCTCTCAGCCTGAAACAAACACAATACCAAAAATCGATATTTTAGAATCAGTACATAATTTCAAGCTTGTAAAGGTTTGACATTTTCATGCCAGTATAGAATCATACTGTATTCTTCTGGGTTATGGAACCATGCAATCTGGTGTATGCATATTTTGGATATACATATTGCATCTATATTCCACCATAAATAGGGACCCAAATAGGCTGGTCTAGAGATAATACTCAAGACATGAATATGGGATTGCTCGATTCCAATCTCAGCCAGGTCACTGGCTATACTGGCTGAGTTTTAAGGTTTTACTTAGTTCATCTGGGAACATTCCAGACGACTTCCACATCACTGGCAACAGGTTGTACACAATGCTTGTGACTACATTGAAGGACAGTAAAACTTTGAAACATGAATCTATTTTGTATCAGTTGAAAATAATTAGTTGCCACTATTAAAGTTCCAACCCTCATAGTTGCCATATGTAGATGAGTGATGTCATACTGTAGGATGATCTTTGACAGTTACCAGGATTTTTCTTCCAAATTGCTTGGTGCACACCACTGTGAAGCAAGTTACTTTGATGTGGTGCATTAGTTGTTACACAGTGTGGAAGGAAATCAACATTTATCACTTCTTCTGAATCACAAAATAGACTTGACATGATCTTGCCAGCTGATAGCTGTGTTTTGAACTTCTTTACAGCTTTCAGAAAACTTATCATTGACAGGGTCTCTTCCCCATATTGTGCACTTAACCTACAAAGAACTGATGGTGGTTTTACTTTCTGTTTCGCTAGGAATCTGATGGTACAGCAATATTCTCCAGTAGTAGCCGACAACCCTCTATCACATCAAATTTATATGTGTGTGTGTGTGTGAGGGGGGGGGAGAACTCTTACCTCATTTCTATAGGCTGCAGCTAAACCTCCAGCAGTGATTTCCATCAGCAGAATTATAAGAAGAAACACCCCATACTATAAACAGAAAAAGAATAAGATAACAGTATTTTCACTAGAATTGTTTTAAGTAAATTTAAGAAAAACTGTTACTTATAGCTTAATTTATGGAGCTTTACTCATGAGATATAAAAATAATTCTATTATAAACTGTTGGTACATAGCCTGACTATCCATAAATGCATGTATAAATATTGGTTTTCCTTTATTTTGCTACATGTTTTATCTATCTGAATCCTACTTACTTGCTTATTTGGGCCATGCCATAGCTCAAGCGGCTAGTCGCTGGCTTCCCATTGCGGTGGCCCGGGTTCGATCCCGGGTCTGGTCAGGTGGGATCTGTGGTGGACAAAGTGGTGCTGTGGCAGGTTTTCTCCAAGTACTTCGGTTTCCCCTGCCAATCTTCATTCCACCAATTGCTCCACAATCACCCTCACCTATCATCTGGGGCTGGTACAATAGGCCAGAAGTGGCTGCAGTACAAGGGACATAGTCCCACCCCACTAGCAATAAAAAAAATACTTGCTTATTTACACACTTTGTGTTGCTATACTCATATAGTAAATAAAATAACTGTCAGTATCTGGTACTAACTTCGCCGACAAGTGATTCTGCTGACTGACAAGTATAATTCGCTTGCAGACTAAAGCCATGGAGTTTAGTTTAGTCAATATCACACATCATTGCCACCATCTTATAAAATAAGAAAAGTGGCCTAACAAGAACTTATGTGACATATTTTGGTTATGCATGTCCACAGTCCATTTGCCTGAAAGAAATTTATCTGTCCTCTTATCCAAAAAAAATGGCAAAGCAGAGAAAGGGTTATCCAATATATATATATATGAAAATACTGTATAGCTTTTCTGTTTCCTTCTGTAGACCTTCTTGTGCTCTGATGAACATCTGAACATGTATAACCATCGTGCATGTATGTTTCTGATTGATGTGAATAATGTCAAAGTAGAGCGAGAGCTTGATGATGGCAAGTCATGGTTGGTTATGTTTTCATGCCAGTGGGCTGTAATTTATCTGCCCATCCATCACATAAAACTAACCACCTAGTAGCTGTTACACTAGGTTACTCTGAGTGCCAGTTATGTGTGTCAGTTTTCATGGAGTTAGAGGATGAGTAAATTTTTTTTGGTTTGCAATTATTACGTCTCATAAGGCAACAAATTACAACGATACTTACACAAGTCAATAAGCATCTGGACTCACGTAATGCTCCACAGTAGCCTAGGAAACTTACTAAGAACATGAATGCCCCAGCTGCAATAAGTATGTAGGCAGCTTGCTCTATGACAGTTGGTTGTGTGATTTGCTGAAACTGTGAAATGATATATATTAATTTTAACCATTATACACATACAAGACATACAATACAAGTGAAATTTTTATATCAGATTACTTTGGGGACAGTGGTTTGAGCATTTAACCAACAAATTTTCTTAACTGTTACGGAATTTTACTCTGGATCATTGACTGATGAACCGAAAATGAGGGCAAACAATAAATGTGACTGCTACTGTGCAGTACTGAAAGGAAGAAAAAGGTACTGGTATTATTCTGTCAGTATTTGTTACACAGGATAAAAACTATAAAGTATTAGTATATGCTACACAGCATACTCTGCTCATTAATACATTAATATCTAGCAGTAACATTCATCAATACAATTAAAATCCCTTTATGATTGAGAGTTAAGAGAATTCTCAATTATAGAAGGGATTTAAATGTAAATGTTAGTGTTAGAAACTTGTATATACTAAGCATTCGCCTCTTCATCATGTAAGCCTTTGAAGTGTCCCTACTGGTCCATGTCTTACCTGATAAACTGTCTTAACAGTTACATGTTATACTTGATGGTTTTATTATTTAATTATCAGTAATGGGTATATAACAGCTGAAATGTCTCATACACCATCATTTACAGTTGTATTTAGAACCCTTACTGATACAGACCTTTTCTAGTATTTTGACATATTGTCACCAGAAAATGATGTAGTGCATGAAGAGAACATGAGGAAGACATGTATGAGAAGCTGATGGTGAAATTGTTACGTGCTCTTTAGGAAGCAAAAAAGAATGTCTTATGTTGAGGTTGTGCTTGTCAATCCATCTGTCTGTCCGTGAACTAGTATCAGCACCTAAACCTTCAACAGATTTTTTAAGTAGACACAACTTTTACTGAAGTTTGTCAGGCAGTTCCAATTTTGAGCCATATTTACCTACAATAAACTGCTTTACTGACACTCATAAATTGATAAACAGGCTGCAAGTAAGCTTAATGAACTACCATTAGAAATTCTATATACATTATGTACAAGAACACATTGCCAATCTTGTTAGATTTTTCAGTGACACATCATCCTTTATTATGGTTCCTTTATTGTGCATTTATAACAAATCTATTGCTGGGTTCAAGTAAAACTGAGCCCTGGGATAATGAACTAGAACAGGATGTCATGTGCCAGTAAGATATACAAGTTAAACAATGTTTCTGTTAATAACCATCTGAAACATGAAGTTTATCTAAATAACATATAAAAATTCTGTTTGCACTCCCAGAAAACACAGTTTGTCTCCATTATAAAGACTAGTTAGTTCATGCTGTTTAGAGAAATGACTGATGTTTATTGCAAGAATTATGCAATATATATATATATATATAAGAAAATCTGGAAAAATGCATTTTTTTTTTGTATGAGTATGTAGTACACATAATTACCACTGTGGTTTAAGATGTCAAAACATAATATGTAAAGCGGTAAAATAATATCAATAGTAATATTATAAATATGGAATAAATTTCATCATCTGTAGGAACTGGAACTGCAAATAAATTATGTAGTATGCTGCTCCAACTTTTGAAGTAACTGGGCTGTGAGGTCATCGTGGAGCTGAGCCTTTCTGGGGTAGCTGCCAATTCTGCAGCTACTCAAGAATTTCCCAGCATTTTACGGAACCCAAAGGTTCATTACCATGTTCACCAGAGCCCTCCACTGGTCCCTATGGAAAAATCTTTTATTATCTCTTCTTAGGTGATCACCAGCTGAGTGTGAAATTTCTTCCATACCAGCAATACTGACTGCCCAAAAAGACTTCACCAGATTCAGTTCCTATGAAAGCTTCCATTCATTCTCAAATCTGGTTTCAGTGATCCCTCTACTACAATTACTTGCATGACATCATTTGGTCATACTTATGTAAATTTTCTTCCAGAAGGCCCTATTATTTTTGTAATTTGGTTACCTGCAATAATACAGTATCACTCTATCTTCTGAGATGAATAAAAAACCTGTTATCATGTAGATTTTTGGTCTGAATTTTGTAGGATGTCCTGAAGCATGCAGATAAACCTTCCTTATAAAGTACTGTCAATAAGTGGTATTTAAATGTTTGGACAATTCCACCCATTGTCTTTATTTTGAGATATTTGAATTAATTTTTTGTACAGATTTCAAATTGTGAAAATCAAGTAGTACTGGAAGGGGTTAAAACCAACAGACTTTTATCTGATACACTTTAAGAGATGGGTCCAAATTTAACATAAAATAAAAAAAAAGACTTAATAGTGCATCCATCTATTTATTAATAACTTCAAAAAATAGTTTTATACTGCTCTATGTTACGAAATTTTAGTAGTAATTTCAGCCACAAGAGTTGAGCACAGTGTTTTAGGGCCATATCGATGGGTGAGGTGAAGAGACGACTGCCTCAGGCGCCAAAAGCAAAATTACATTGGAATACCAAATTTAAAAGCAGGAATAAAATGTTTTAAACTTTATAAATTTATACATGTATGTATTCTTTATTTATTATTCATTCACAGCGTACTTCAGTACGCGGGCGACGAATTTTAAGAAACCGCTCGACAGTTCTGCCAATCGTCAACTAATTCAAGCAGTTAACTAAGCTAACAATGTAGCGCATTTTAGGATTTGAGGTTCTCACCGCGGTGTTTGTGAAGGGTACTATCTTATAGCATATAACACCGTATAGTCATCTGACGTTTTGGAGGAATACAGCTTACATATTCAGGATCTAATAAGCCGAGCAAAATACCAGCGTGAAAGCAGAATGAGATAACACAATTACCGACATCTATGTTACTAACTTCAGTTGCCGACGCCATTTGAAAATTGCAAAATAGTCTATGCACATGGTGTATTTGTCTACCTGTGATAAAGCAAAGGGAATGAGGCACAGTGATAAAACTATTAGCACGTATTTATGTGTATTCTAAATCGGTCCGTGAATTGCAAAATAATTTGATCGGAACATAGCCGGCGAACAGGTAAGCATTGTACTAACAGTTAATGCTAATGACATGTGCATGTATACTCGTACTATCTGTGTAGACAATTGTCAATTATACACAATATTTTAGCAACCTGTTTTGACCATATCGGCCCTCCTGCTGTTATATTATATTCTTTTAAGGTTATGTGGACGGTAGACATATGCATATTAGCTGAAAGTACAATATTTAATTTGGTTAGTTTTAATTATAATTTTATACATGTAAGTTACCGGTACAGGTTATGGTCTGTAAACTATTAACATAAGGAAATAAACGAAAATATATTCGGATGAATAACAGCTACTTAAGAATAAAGTTAAAAATCAGGGCAAATTTTATATTACAAATGTCTTAACTTTATGGGTATGTCCGCGAAACCTTTGTGAGGGAATTTACAAATAACAAGGTATTTCTTTGTCCAATCGTTTAAGAATTTTTCTTCCTTGCTCGTGCTATCCCATATTTATTAATTAACGACGCCGCTTACCAGTTTTTCCCCCAGGCGTTAACAAACGAAGAAAAGAATTTCACTTCTCTCACATTCAGAGGTGCCAGTCAGTATGGGGAATTTGTCAGTCGAGAACAGAGGCAGCAAAATCAGTGCATTATCATTTACTGCAAATCTATGATGCATTAGTAGACAGTGTCCAAGATCGATACAGAAATAACTGATAAGCTACGAAGAAAATGTTACTGAAAACATCTATTTTTAAGTTTATTTGTAATGTTATCTGGAACGATGTTTTTCACAAAACGAACAAGGTACCGGTATCAAAATTACTCCTGAGTCATTCTTTAGATCCGGTCTAGAAAACCGAAATTAACGGCCGTGGGGGTTCGTTGCGCTGACCACGCGACAACCTCTACCCGCAAAAGTTGGCAATAAACTTCGCCGACAAGCGGCGTTCGCTCGGTCGGTATAGTTCGCTTGAGGACTAAAATCACGGAGTTTGTTTTGTTTTTGTGCTTCTTTAGAAATTTCGGGATGTATCACAGCTATTGAAAATATGGTTGTCTTCCAAACAATTATCGAAATACTAGAATTGTTTAAACGTGTGGGAGTACGTCGAAATAAGAAACTTTTGACAACCAACGGAAGGATGAAAAAATTACTGGTCCGAAAAAAAAAGATTAGAATTATTGTCTACTTGATGTCGCAATTAAATCTTTAACAAAACTGTTTAAAAGTAACGATAAGCATTGTGACATCTTAAGGTTTTTGCACATTTCCGATATTAAAATTATGGATTCCGAAACTGTCGAAGAACACTGTAGTGATCTTCGCATTGCTACGAAGGATGAAGATGGCTTTGACAGACTTAAACTTAACGAAGATCTAACAGATTTTGCTCTGTTATTATTAAGTCCCTCTGATATGACGTCACCCAATACACTGAAATATGATTCTGTATTTCAGCATCCCGCTGCAATTGTTCAAGTTTGCGTCCATTGTTTATTTTCTGTCAGAATTGCAACACGTCTACACTACATGTTTCGGCCTGAAGCGGCCATCTTCAGGTGTGTCTTGTGTTATAGATATTTTACTAAAACTGTGTTAAAAACTGCTATACTGTTTTTATTTTCATTTCGCCTAAACATGTAGTGTTGAAGTATAGAATGTAAAGGTGTTGCAATTTTGACGGAAGAAACAATGGACGCACACTGAAATACATTTACAGCAAAGATTTAGCCAGCTTATTTTTTTTGACACTGGCGATCACAGTGACCAGTAGGGTGCAAAGTTTTCAGAGCTAAAATCCGAAGAAAGTAAATTGCTTGCATATGATGATGAGTCACGATAGATGGGTTGATTTAGCGATCATTTCTATAGAACCGGATATATAGTAAGTACACTAAATCATTCACATGCTTCAGAACTTTTTCTCAATCGAAAGCTCCCGAAGTTCTTTAATATGCGCGATCTCTTCAAAATGATGTTTACATTTGAATCGATATTCATCTTACCCTGGTGCAATTTTAGGGGTTTGATTGGTACAATCTATTATTGATTCTGACCCCTCATA